TCCGCGTGTACCATGTCATCAGCAGCAGCAACTGCTGAGACCCGCAGTCACCCCCCTGCCTATATACGCTCCACAGCGGGTGGGTTGCATGTTGAACGCCCAATGTAATATTGGAGTCACCAAGATTACTCTCAACTGTTTTCACTATTTTGTTCAATTTCTTGATGGAACTTCAAAAATATTTTCTTTCTATCTTGTGTACTGAATATTGTAAAATCCCAGTTCCTTTCTGAACATCAAGATTTTCATTCTGAAGGAAAAATACAACGGACTTCTTTGAACAGTCAAATTCATTCAGAAACTTTTGAGATTTGACTTCTGATCTCATGACTGAGCCAATGCTGCTCAAGCCAGAAAAAAAGGCATCCTGAAACATTCAAACTCAAAGAAATCAGACTGAAATGGAAATTAAGCATGATAATTTCTTCATGATTTGCAGGTGGAGATCTCATAGAACACCCACAATTATATCTACTGAACTAGAAAAGAATAAAATCCACCTCTTTAATCAGCTAATTTGGCCACTTTTAACTGCCTTTTGGTCTGCATCCAATATGATACCAAGCTTTTTGGCACACTTACTTTCACAGGTTCACATTTAATCAAAAATAAACCACAAAAGTGTCATGGGCTGGCTTAAAATTGAAGCCAACAAGCCATTCTTATCCTCATTCTTTTTCACATAAATATACCATGTCAGAAATTCCATACCCAGATTTCCTGAAAAGTATATTAACAAAAGATGCCCTTACTCAGGGACCAGGCATTTGAATTATGGTTTATTTTTTTTTCTAATCTTCAAGTATGGTTTGAGAATTCATTGAGCCTCTAGTCTGGGAGGGGTTTGGTGGGCACAGGCAACATAAAAAGTAAAATTACCCACTGGAATTTAGTATACGATTTCGGCATCTAAGTCATTTTTTTCGATGAGAATGAGCTCTGCATGGATCTCAGACTAGATGGCTCTCCTCAAGAAGGAAAAAAGAAGCGGGTAATCCTGAGGACAATTTCAACATGATATGAGGGTGGACTCAAGAATGCCTATTAAAAATGGAAATACAAGTTCAGGGAAGAGAGGATATAAGAAAACCAATCTACATGTTTTTTTTTTTTTTTCTAATTTTTTTTTTTCTCGAAAACGGATCTTCTCTTCGCGTGTATGTATCCAATGATCCTCATTGGCTGGTCAAGAAGAAAAATCCATGCGATTGGAGTTTTTCAATCACACGCAAGTGGTGCCGTCCATTTCCACGGAGCAGAACTGGAATCTGTTTTTTTAGAAGTGGAAGTAATCAATTGAGTAACTTCGTCTTGAAAAATCAAGGAACTAAGGAGGACTGACACCGCGAGATTACAGGCAGAACGATCCTGAGAGGTAGCCGAACGACACATTGGCGTTGCATTGGGGTCTCCAGTCAACTCTCTGCACTTGCAGGTGGCACGAATTGTGTAATAGACAGTCCATTCGCCTTGCAACCAAGGATTGAATATGAGTTTCGGTTCAAGCTATCGGATAACAGGAGCAGAAATCATGTGAAAGGATAGGGGCATGTTTGCTTTCTATCCAGGCACCAAACATGGAGTCCTCACCGTTAGAATACGCATGCCTAGAGTAGTCCGAGCCCTGGTTAGTACACACACTAGAGGCCGATGCCGGCCAACTTGTGCCGTTCTGTATATTTCTCGG